ATAGAGGATATTTGTTTAGTATAGGTATATTTCACGAGTGGCGCAGCCACGAGTGAAATATGAACTTTTGGTGTTCACAAGGTGAAATATATTTCGATCTTACACTAAACTAAACAAATTTTCTTTTTATTACATGCAAAGAAACGTTTTTAAAAGACATTAAACATAATACTGAATGAAAAGCGCGCCAAATAATAACACAACGTGATATCATTTATGACGTCACGTCATTAAGTTGGTACCCAGTACTGTGCACGCTGGTATTTCACTGAAACAACGTAAGGGGCTTAAATTCAAAACAGTGAAATTATCAAAGTGGTAATTTCACTGTTTCAAACAGTGACATTACCAATTTTATATCACTGATATATTTCTATAAACCACCGAAAAGCATGTAATAAACTGTTTTTATTTTCACTCTTAAAGCAATCATGCATGTGGTAAAAAATTTGTTTTATTTCCCCCTCTTTAAAGCAGTCATGCATATGCTAACAAAGATGTTCATATTTTCCTTCTTTAAAGCAATCATGCATATGGTAATAAGGATGTTCTTATTTTCCCTGACTAAAGCAATCATGCATACAGTAGTAAAGATATTCTTATTATCCCTCTTTAAAGCAATCATGCATTCGGTAATAAAATTATTCTTATTTTCCGCCTTTAAAGCAATCATTATTACAGTAATAAAGCCTTTTGGCACATTCATGTGGCATCAATATACCAGAGCAACATGGCAGTCACCTGACACCAAAGTTAAGAGGTTATTTTTCTATTTTTAATTACAGTTGCATGTTATCTACTTTTTATTAGGTGGCTAACTTACATACATTCAGAGACACATGTTTGCCATTTGGCTTAATCAACTTTCATACATAGTAATATTAAACTTTTAGTTGTACAGTCAGGACTCAATACATCGGAATCCATTATACTGACAAATTCAAATAACGACAGTGATTTGGTGGGAACCAAATTTTTTCAACGGTATTATAATCCTTTATAACGGAAAATTCGTATTCTGACTCCGACACTATAAAATTGGAAACCAAACGTGTTATTTTCTATACAATTAGTACCCGTTAAACTGACACCTGGTCAGTCAAGCGCGCGTATCATTGAGCCGTGAACAAAAGCCCCAAGGTGTTAAAATAGGTATTGTAGCTTGGACAGTTGATTGTTACACCTTATTACAATACCAATGTGTTGTTGTCTTACACTTGCCAACTTGTGACTTTTTATTATAATTAAATGGCAGAACCTCCAGCTAAACATCAATGGACTAATTTAACTTTTGAACCAAAAAAACGAGTTTAGTTTAGTTATTCTTATTTTAATGAAGTTGTTGTATTATGTGTATGATATGTAATGTGTATAATAAAGTGAGCACATACATGTAAACACAAAAAAAAATCATAATAGACCTTATTACATATTGTTCAGATACCAGCGAATAAGCATTTCATTACATGATGAATGATGAAATTCAATATACTGACAAATTCGATATACTGTCACATATCATTTGGGAACCAACAGTGTCGTTGTAATGAGTCCTGACTGTACATCCTTTTTTAAACAGCTAGTAGATAAAAAGTCATTAAGAAGTCACAATGTTGCTGTTCTTTGCCAGTTATTGAACATTATAACCCTTAAAATATTAACAGTTATAACAACTTGCTTATCAAACCAGGCTATTCAGCATATCAATGCAGGCTGACCAAACTTTTAGATACAGTGTGGTGCATTTAAATCTTAATATTTTGAAATTAAAAAGAATCTCTAAGATTTTCATTGGACAATTTCAACTTCAATGCAAGACATGACTCATAGTATAGGTTATTCTAAGAACAGAGTGTGCATCAGAGTTGCAAATGAATCATGTTTGCAATGCTCGAAGATCACAGTGAAATAATTTGTTCTGATATTTAGTAACAAAAATTGCCAACTATTATCATGCATTCTAAAAAGACTCATAAATTTAGCATTCTGTAATTGAAACCACTCCATCTTACAATGGATAAATTTTATTTCAAAGCAGAAACTGTCCTTTATGTCCATTTAAAATATAGAATCTACGTATACAACAATAGTATAAATCATTACAAGTTATAGACTGTAATAATAACCTCTACATTTACTCTAAATGTTTTTACATGCATATGGGCACTTTGTTACATTGATAAAACATGTACGTATACACTAGTATAAAATATCATCTACAGGGGCATCACTCCAAATATATAGCTAAATAATTGTTTTATACTTTATCACACTACTCAGGAATTACTCCTAGTAAATATTAGTATGAATGTACTTTGAATTTACAGAAGGTCCCTCTGCCCTTTCAGGCACTGTAACTGACTTAAAATTACATGCAAAGTCCAGACCCTTATCATACCACAGTCATGCTCTTCAAATGTTAATTTTGAAGTACTGTATTTTAGAAGTCAGAATTAATCTTAAACTGTCAGCTAAATACTGTCCCTTTAAGGTTCAACTTGAGGTTCTAAAAGTTTTGTGACAATTTTAGATTTTGAATTTCTTTGTAAGTCTCATTATTTTCAAATTTCCTTCATTTATCACATTAATATGACTATAAAACCATGTTCATTACTGGAAGTGGACAACATTTTTTAACATATATAGCTGTGTCATATCTTCTAAAACAATGTGTTATTGCTTTGCTGAAATATTTAGTAAGACAATCTTAACATAAAATTCACAATAATCTTATCAGTTAAACTTCTTAAAATACAAAGAAAAACAATTTCAAACTCCTTATCTTTTGCTTTTCTTTTTTGAAAGTACAGAAAAGAATTGCTGCTATAGTCAGCACCTTGTCACACTCCAGTACAACAACTAAACTTGTGTTCCAATAGAACAAAACTAAAATACTAGTGTGTTCAGAAAATCGTGTTCAGAAACACAAGTAAGTGTTCAGAACTAAGTATACATTGCATGCATAGAAATTCTGTTTCCATGGTAACAAAAGACTGGAGAAGAAGATCTCCAAACAAAAACATACCAGATCTCGGCCGATATGAGTCGGAGTAAGAACTCCGTACCATCGGCATAGTTGCTGCACGACCAAACGCTACAGAAAATTATCGCAGTAAAGTTAATAAAATTGCAATTATAGTATAATCCAATCACATTACATAGCAATGTCATTCAATGTTCTAAAATATATCTTTAATCAAATTATAATTTTTATTACAACATTACAAAAAAACTGAATTTTATCCAAACAACATTAATTTTAGACCTTATTTTGTTATCTATTAGAGTCTTAAGAGTTCATTAATCAACTTTATCTAACATTTTTATAAAACATGTTTAAATCGTATATCAACACAAAATGTTATTCAATGAAAATTTAGTAATACATGTACTTTTTGACCTGTGCTTAAACTAGAATATTATAAATTCAAAAGCTATATTCGTTACTATTTATTCTTTCATATGATCCTTAAACTTTATTTAAAACAGTTTTTTTTCTTTGAGTTAAATTCAATAGCATTTTAAAATTTGAAAACAGGTCAAATACTTGACATGCATTTCAAATTTCTGTAAAAGTTTTAAACAGTATAAACAATACATAAGGACAATATATATTGAAAGAGAATATGACATTTTATACAATGGTCAGAGTCAAATTACACTAATTAATTACAATGAAAATTATGGCCGTAATTTCTTAACTTACAAATTATCTGTTTAAAAGGGGATTGATTTTATAATACCTAAATATTTAAAATAGTTTGTCAACAAAGATATCTTGTTTAAACCTTATATGCATATAAGACTGAGTAAGGGATAGTTATTTGGTTATTCAAATTAAATTTGAGTCTGCATTTTGGACATTCCAGTAATTTTAAGTCTTTATATGAAAAAAAATTGTCATGACCCAAGCAATTGAGACTTAACCAACAATCTTAAGTAGAGTGTAAGAAATTTTTAACCACAAAACTCCAAAAAGACCTTTGCTACCAGTATAGGGTTATGCCTTTAGATCAGCACATGCATGCTGTCTCAACCCTGACCACTGTAATAAACTTGCTCAATTTTAAGATTTGATATGAAACACTTGAATATAAAATAACAAAGGCCAGTTCCAAAATAAAAGGCATGATGTGACTATATTGAACTTACAAGTATTGTGAATGTTTAATTGTTATTACTTATTCAATTTATTTCATGAAATCTATGAATATACACAGCCTGGGAAAGCAAACAAAATCTTTTTCATATTTAGGTACACCCCTTCACAAATGTTGTACTTCAGACAAAATATTATTTTGTTTTTGATTTCTTATGCATGTTTTTCAATCATCAAAATGTTATTTATAAATATGTATAAGGTACATATGTAAAACTTAAGGTACATATAATTATACAACAATATCATGTTAAAGAAAATTCACCTACCATTGTCAGGCTTCATTTTTATACCAAACTTTCCTTCTAAAAATATTCTTTTTTGGTAACCTTTATGTTTGAAATGTTTTGTTTCTAAACTCAATAACAATATTTGTATTTTCCACTATTTCCTGAATTACGGTGACCTTTTTACCAGTTCCTATCCACAGTAACTACTGTGTTTTGTCAATGTTATTATAGTGCAAATGAACATGTTTAAACATATATTTACTTAATAATCAGCAAGACCCTCGCTTTCTAAACCTTAAGCTGATAACCCCTATAGTAAATATACATAACACAAGCTATACCTTTAACAGTTTGCCATTAAAGCCTTTTTAAAATTTTTGTTTGTTTAAGGTGCTAAAAATAGCAATTTAAATATCTGGTAAACCTTAAATTCTAAAATAATTGTCGTTTAAGGATGATATTTTTTTATGACAGTGAAAATTATATGTTATATATTATCTATGCCACTTTTGGTGAATTAATCAAACTCTGACTTTTATACTGATATACATTTTCAATAGCATATCAATCAGACATCCATTGATCCCATTCATTGATACACCAATTTTACCTATATCAAAATATGTAAATTCTTTTCAACCTTTAAAAGGACAGGTTAAAAGGTATATACCAGTATAGATATTGAAAACCTCTTGATTCACAATGGAAATCTTTTAACCACCTTTCACCAAAATGTAATAATTGTTAAACCTTTCAAAATCTCAATTATAAGCCTTAACTACTGTTTGTAAACAAAAATTTGTATAATTACTTTTCTCGATTTAAACATAACAATTATAAATGTTAAACTAAAATCAAGACCAAATTATATGGTAAATATTACTTTTCTATGTAGCGAAATGTTATTTCTTTAAGTGAAAATCTTATATTGGGTTTCAGTTGGAGTAAAAACAAAATTGGCTTTAGTTAATTTATGCTTGAAATATGATATGATAAAAGCTGAGGTGTAATCAATCATTCAAAAATTCAATGATAATTAAAAATAATCTAAAGTCACTTAGATTCATTATTTAGATCCCCCCCCCCACACATTTCTCAACATTCTACCTTAAATTATGATATTGACATTATTTATAATATATCACAACGGTTTGAATCAACAGCATTCATTTTTGCTGTCTTTTAACACAAAATGTATTTAAAAAAATTAAATCTAACATAAAATTGTATTTGTCTGGCTCATTTTCTTTCAAACATGAAAATCAGTACCTAATACCAGCATTTGTAAGCAAATATAAGGTATTGTTATGGTTGGGAAGTATGGGGAGTTGGATCACACTGCTATAAATAGAATATAAATGTGTTACCTTCTTTTCTTTCTGGCATTGGTCTCTGTAAAGAAAATATAAAACAAAACATTAATACACTATTGTCATGGAATCATGGCTATATATAAAGTTTATTTAACATAGACTTTGTATAGCAAATACAGTTAAACCTGTCTAAAGACATAATTTTTTGTGGTCTAATGAAACGGTATATTTTTGCACTGTAATTGATCAGATTTGAAACCTACTTACTTTCTTTAAGTGACATATTATTTTAGTCTGATTTAAATGACTTTATTTTGAGTTAAATTAGATCTCTAACAGGTTTAACTGCTCTGCATGGAAAGAAAAATAAAGATCATCAATAAAGTTTTAATGTTAAATTCATTTTTTTTTTGATTATGAAATAATAGTTTCAGTTTCAAATTCATAAGGAAAACTAAAACTATCACTGAAGGTGATAAAAATTCCCCTTTATAAAACTTTAATTCCTAAACAAAATTGTTAATGCAAAACCATTCATAAGGCTTATTTGATAGTCTTTTGAAGGTCAAGGTCAGATTCTAATTACTCAATTTAAAAGCTTGGTCCAAGTATAAACGAAATATATCATTGAATAACAAAGTTGTTGCAAACTTGACCTTTTTAAGGTCATTTAGTGGAAAAAGTCATAATCATTTCAGGCTGTATGATGGTATCATCCAACATGATGTAATGTGACCATATACTAATCAAGTCTGTACATAAATAATAAAATTTAACAGTGCGATAAATTTTCATATTTGACCTTGATGGCAACTGTCATTTAATGATCAAGGTCACATTTGAATCACTTTACATGGCAGTTTTGTCATAAATGTTGTTTTGTCCAAGCATGAATTCATAACAAATTTTACCAAATTTTATCAAAATTTAACCATTGGACTTTGAAGGTTAAATTATAATCATGAATTTCTCCACTTCAGTGTTGTTTAGTCCATTTATGATATAAATCAGGTCTTATTTGCTAAGTTTAATTATTAGACTTTGACAGTCAAGGTCACGTTAACTGAAGTTTCTACTTGAATTGTTCATCATGTTGGTTTTGCCACGAGTCCTGCTCTATTCAAGTATAAATTAAATTTTGTCAAAGTAATAAATAACAAAGTAATGGCAAAATATAGCGAACGAAGGTCAATGTCATATAAGCCAGATGAACATACAGCCATAAACCTGAGTATACCACCTTAAAACTTTGTGGTGCAGGTGGATGAAACATATAATGTTAAAAGTTGGTTATCATCTCATTTATTTACTTCAGACAGGAAAAACCAAAACAGACACTATTAAAACAACTCTTACTTCCATAATTTGTATATCTAAGTTCTAACAACCTTTCTACATGTGCATATTGTGCAGAGATAGATGCATACATGTGCAATGCAAGTGCAAAAAAGTACAAAAGAAAATTGAATATCTAAATGTCTCAAATTCTCTAATTTAGTGAAATTTAGAGAATTATAAATCATATAAGTTAAATGTAAAAATTAAATTTTATGAATATGACAAGATTCAATTGACCTTTTTTAATGCCTGAATGCCATTGACACATAATAAGTGCTGTCGGACCAACTGTTTGATAAAAAAAATTTGATATTGAAATCCATTCCAAATAACAGTTCTATTTTCATTCATAAAAGTAAAAATTATTTATCATTTAATTGATATTGTATTAATGTATTAGTAATCACAGCAAACTACCTTTTCCAAATCAGTCCTTACCCTTTCCATTCCTAAAATAAACAAAAACAAAATATTTTAATACAACAAAAAATACAACTATCACATTCAAACAATAATGATAATTTAACATTGCAAATTAAGGGTGGTTAAGGTGTCTGCCTCTCAACCCGTAGATCATGGGTTCGAGCCCTAATCGGGTCACAACCATGTTTCTTCATATTACACCAGTACTGGTTGGTTCCTGAGACTGAGGAAGAGGACTCGAAAGTAATCATTATACGTTGCAAGAACTTGTTTCGCAATCAGGCTTAAAAAAATATGTTTGAACTTTAAAACATTGCAAATCATGAATTCAGTACAAAGAGGTAAATATTGTGCTCAAATAGATACAGAGAAAGACTTTTCTGATGTCAAATATGTTGTAACAATAGTATGTGTTTAAACAAAACTGATGCTAAAGTTTGAAATACCCTAATGTACAATTTGTTATACTTATGTGCCCTAAAAGTTTAGGCATGCATTTTATGTTAACATTGTAATGTATCACGATGTAAAGTTGGCAGTCTTTAGCAGAATACAAACAGGCCAGCTGAACACACCCTCTGTGCAGTAGTTGCCCATTTTTTTGTGCTTTGTCAACTTTGATATTGATTTGAATCCCTTAAAAAAGCAATCAACAATTTATTACACAAATCATTAATTTTGTAGTGTAAGATAGTAAAATTAAACAATACCTCTGTTTTCATCTCCATACTTCATCTGTAAATAAAAAAATAAAATTACTTTAAAAGTCCAGGTCATTTAATCAGATATCATAGAATTCTCAAAGTATATTGTATATTGACTTAATACATTGTATATTTTGTTAGTTTATGTAACATATAATATAAGTACATGTATAAAACACACATTTTAATTTAACAAAGATTTAACAAAGATTGACATAACTAACATAAACTTGTACATTCTGGATATACATGTACCTTGCATCAGAAACTTGTGTACCATTTAAGTACTACAAAGTACTAATAGCCCTTATAAACATTTAACATTTAAAGCTGATTTTCAACATTATTTACCTTTAAAAGGGGCATATTTCACACAAAGTGTAAGGCTTGTTATGCTCTTATTAACAAGAAAGACTAACTGACAAAATAAGAATACTGGCAAAACAGTAAAATATTTTTGATTCATTCACAAACAATACAATACTAGAAACAAAGCAAAACGCAGCAGAAGCCTGTTGTGTTTTTTTTAATCTGTTAATATTCAAAGCAATTGCAACAAACATTAATAGATTTCAGTGAGGTTTTAATGAGTTATTACATTTATAGTGAGCTCTAGTTATGGCAAGAATATTTTTGTAAATGGTTTTCTGACCTTGACGGTTAAGGTTTGACCAAAGTTTATCTGACCTTGAACAATGTCTTTTTGACCTTGAACAGAAATTCATTGTCTTAAAATAATACTTTTGTTCATTTAGCAGGATCTATCTGACACTGAATAATATTCTTTTGACATTATAAACAATGTCTTTGACACTGAACCTTGATGTATTTACGCTTTTGTCAATGTCCCCTTGACCTTGAACAATGTCCTGACCTTATACAATGCCATCTGTACCTGAGTGATTACATATTTGTAAATCATGATTATATTTTTATGACCTTGAAACAATGATATCATGTGACCTTAAATTACTAAGACTGACAGACTTAAAATGACAAAATATTTTCACATATACCATCACATCATTTACAACCCAGCTAGATCTACAATAAACAAAGATGTTTTGAAAATATACATTCAATTAATATAATTAACTAAATCAATTAATTTGGCTACTTTTTGATTTTCATAATTTTTTTTCTAAGACAATATGGCAAATTATTTTTATAGGATTATGTTAAATGTGTAAATAAATGTAAATTGTGCTTTTGTTAGGTTAGAATATAAGGTGAAACACAATTATGAAGTATAAAGGAAAGCTGTGGTTTTTAAAAATAAAGCACTTTCTTTAAACTAAAAAAAATGTTATTTTATAGTTTTTTTATCAATTTATTTACTCCACTCATGCCAACATGACAACATGAGGTAATAATACAATTACATTATAGATGTATCCAAAACATAATGTTATTATTCTAAAGAATTAATTGTATCTTTTTAGTGCATATATAAAAATTATATCTATTAAGTGCATTAATATTTGTCAATTAAAAAAGACCCAAATACATGATTATTACTTGTCAATAATTAATAACTTGTCTTAATTATTAAGAAATGATCAAAATACAAGTATTATCAATGTATAGATATATACATTATCAATGTATTGTATATTTCTATACATCATCAATGTATTGTATATTTCTATACATCATCAATGTATTGTATATTTCTATACATTATCAATGTATAGATATATACATTATCAATGTATTGTATATTTCTATATATTATCAATGTATTGTATATTTCTATACATGCTGCTGTTATATAAGCCAAGTATACAAATGAAGCAGTGATTTGTATCTACACAAATACCTCATCCCAAGCTAAATCTTCACCAAACACAGGGTGGGAAGGAACTGGGGTTCCATGATCATACTATAACATAATGGTTTTAATAATGATAAAATTAAATATGTGTAACAAAATCCACAAATATCTGTTAAAAAAAGTTTAAAAATACAAAATATTCTTTGAAACTGAAAAGGCAAATTGGCAACTCTCAGCCTTGCTGATAAAGAACAAAGCCCAACCTTTGGTCAATATAATATCATTCAGACATTTAATGCATTTATCAAGACTTTAAAAGTTATATGATTACTTTCCAGCTTTACTGGTGGCGACCCAAAGAGCTCAGGCACCCTTGCTGTATAAAATTCTGTCAATAGCTGGCACCTGAGCAGCACCACCAACCTTGTTCTAAGCTTCCTCACATGAATGAATCTGACGTTCCCGACAGGATTTGAACCCAATAATACATTCAAAATGATAAAGATCCAAGTGCTACATACAATTTATATGACACAATTCATGGTAATGTTTAAATAATCATCAAAATGAAACATGAAAAAAAAAAAACATGAAACATGAATTCACTAAACAAACATGCAGAGTAAAGTATTTTCTCTTTCCTTTAAGCAGTCACAACAAAGAACGCAAAAGAAACAAAAATTTCTGAAAGCAAGATCTAAAAGCAGTTTTTATCAATAAACTAAACTGAAAGTTACAGAATTATTTCCCCTTGCAAAGCACTTTTTGATGCCCAGCATAAGCTTACAATAGTTGTAACACTTACGGCAGGGGCTACTGCAGACGAGAACCCCCTAAGCTTGTATAGCTAAATGACAATAAAACAATGCCATTTTAAGTATATTTATGCAATTTAAATTATCATGTCCTTTTGCCTATAAACATGACATTTAAAAATATTCTTTTACCATTAATTTAGCAATGCTCTTTTGAATATAAGTATGGAAATTAAATTGAAAAGATGCCATTAACATATTATTATTATTCCATTTTCAGAACAACTAAATGCCTTTTAAACATATTTTGTCATTTACAAATTATTTTGACAGAATAGTTAATATAAATATGTATATAATAAACATGTACATGTATATACAGTTGGGTTATGAATCAGAATCATATGTCATTGTTGAAATGAATGTTATATGAGTACAGGATTTAGATTTTAGAATAGGTTAAAGAATTGCGCAATGGACAATTAACGGGTAACAGCAGTATATTCGCTTAAATGCAGTATCATTTAGAAAAAATATCTTTTCCTGTTTTTCTTTCCTTTGAAAATAATAACTATAACATAATTTCCGCTGTCTAATTAATGCTCATTTACAACACAATGTGTTTAGTAATGATATTTTAAGATATATTTTTTTGCATAATGAATTTGTGTTTCATACAACAATTTAAATTTTTTGTTTAATGCGTTCTTTTTACTAATCTGTTTACTCTATTTTATCAATGTTAATGGGTGATTCCTTTCATTTCGCACTGTAATTAGATGCAAACATTTTTAAGTGTATATATAAATATCATTAATGAGCCGCGTCACGACAAAACCAACACAATGGGTTTGCGACCAGCATGGATCCAGACTAGCCTGCACCTCCGCGCAGTCTGATCAGGATCCATGCTGTTCGCTATCAGTTTCTCTACTTGTTATAGGGTTTGTAAGCGAACAGCATGGATCCTGATCAGACTGCACGGATGCGCAGGCTGGTCTGGATTCATGCTGGTCGCAAACCCATTATGTTGGTTTTGTCATGACGCGGCTCAATTTTAAAGTAAATGATTGACATACTTTTAGAATTGTTGTTAAAGGATAAACATAATTCATTTCAAGTTACACTTTGAAATAATGCAGTAATTAAAATATACTTGTGATTCCTAGAAAAAATAATCTTTGTCACTCCAAGAAATACGTAATATCATTTGTAAAAGTCCTGTTAAATAAAAATTAAATAAATGATTCAAAAATAATACACAACACTTACACACTATCTAGAACATAATCTAAATATACCAATGTATAATAAAATTGTGTCAATTAGATGAACTGAAAATATCGTGAAAACAAAGTATGAACTAAAAAAGGGTTCGTGAAGTTTCATGCAGCCATCACCAAAATTTCTGAGAAATTCTGAAAAACTTATCAATTAACTACAATTAAAACAGATCTGACTGGTTGTTACGTTCCCTGAAAGTGCTAAAAAATTTGTTAATAAAGTGATAAAACAATAACAAAAATCGTAAAAAAGAAAAATGTTTTGTCGTATATGACTAATATATAATATATTCTACCTTTGTAAGAAATTTTACTGCAGAAATTTATTTAATCTCTTTTGATTTGTTACATTAGATTTGAATCAAATTTAAGCTTAGTCAAAATATCGGTCAAAAATCTGACTAAAAAAACCAAGTAATTGGTTCATGAAAACTGACCAATGGGAAAGCAACATTTTGAATATTTTCTTTAGATTGGTTCTAATAAAATTTTCAGATATTTTACAACATAACCCCATGATTCTAATCCACAATTAAATATAATAACATACAAATTTATCTTCAATTCTGAAATCCATCTATTACTACCATTTTAAATGTTTTAAAATTTTTTTTTGATTTGGTTAATCTTTGAACTCAGTGTTGAATCAAGCAGTCACATACATTTTTCATTTTTAGACTTAAATGTCTTTTCAAACCAAAAAATACCAAAAACAAACAAAACAAATCACTTCAGAGCCCCAAACTTCACACCCACAATTACATTGGACAAAACATTTTTCTTGCTCTTATAAAACTGGATGATGAAAAAGGAGTAAAGGTGCTTCTACACACATTTTCGATAAACAATACTAACCCCTACAGGAACATTATATTTTGGTTCTGTTTCCTTATGGAGCTGATACTCTGTAAATTTCATTTTTCTATTATCACCCTATATAAAAAAGACAATAATAAATATCTCTATTACAAGGTAATATATTTTACAAAAAAATAATATATTATTCATTTTAGAATGAAAATATGAAAATTTGGTTAATATTAAACGTATTGGATTATAATTTTTTTTCCATTCATTTGTGTCACCTCTTTTTCATTATTCAAAATATGCTAAGAGCAATTTGCTTAAAAATCTAGAAAAAAAACAACAACAACAAAATAATGACAGCATAAATTAGAAAACTGCACAGCAAGATGGCATGATATAAAGACATATCAGAGATATAATAATAGTCTAAGATAAATATATGGTAACTATGAAATGAGAAGGCAAATAAAAGGGAAATGAAATGTCTATTTAAGCTTACATCGCAGTTTAATTACAAGACAGATATGCCTAGAAATTGGAATTGCATTATGTATTGTTTGGCAAATATACATCTATATAATTATCAAAAATATGATTTGAAAAAAGGAAATGAGACATAAGAAATTATAGAAACGATTCATCCATTAATGGTGCATATTATTAAAAAATAAATTAGAATAAATCTGAGAAAAAAAGTTCATCGAGAATTTGAACTTGCAACATCTCAATTACTTTGCTATCATTCATCATTCATATAGACAACATTCCTATCATCTCAAATCAATTAGTTAATTGTAATAAATAACGGAAACTAACGAAACTGTTCCAAAAATTAATGAGTCTCAGGTCAATATTGCTAAACAATAGCAACAATGACTTTAAATTTCAAAAATTGGTCTCTTTTATGTGTTTCCTTATTGCCTACTTTGACTGTTTCTCAAATAATTTTCAGTTTTCAATTGAGGAAGCTAGATTATAGACAGTACATAAGGCTCAAAGGCATTATTGATCCAATTATAAGTAACTAACAGAAAGATAAGGAAATGGAGCAAAAGTTTTGCAATGAAAAGGAAGGATAGGTCAAATTTTACTTCTATTTTTTTAAAATAGGAATATAATTTCATTATCAAGAGCAGAAACTGGCACAAAAAAGGTTGATTACCTGTGAATTTATAACATTTTAACAGGTCTCAATATTTCTTATAAGATCGCATATCATCTCTAAACTTTTTATTAAATTATTGAGAGTGAAGAACTTATTGAGAGAGTGGAGGTAAGAAGGTAAGGAAAGTGGGTGATATAAAACAATGAGTATTGACACATGCCTTACAATTTATAAGTACTATGTCATTTTTCAAGCACACTGGTATCACTTCTTTTATACACTTAATGAAACACTTTGATATGTCACACCCCTTCATGATTTAAGTATAACATTAAAATTTATAGCAATCTTGTGATATCATTGATTGAGGGCCATAATACTTTGTTAAAGTTCAAATTCATATCACATTTTAGCGGGTCAAGTTATTAAGAAAACCAGTTCAGAAATAATTAATTTGTAAAGAAGGGGAGAGAAAGGTGGGGGGGGGGTAAAAGCAATCTGAATAACATTTTAATTACACATGCCAGGTTAAGAACGGTACAAAAAAATAAAATATATCTGTCTAGCAGAAGACACTTTGAACAAAAAGGGTAAAAAGGTAACTACAGCAACCCAAGGTCAAGGTCACAACTTACTGCTGGGGCACCACCACCTGGTCGACCAAAGGGTTGATACTGAGCAGCTAGAGCCTTTGCCTAGAAGAATTTTTTTAAAGATGAATAGTACAAAACAATTATATTCCTAACATTTCTACTATCCTAAATATAGAATGAATGAGATTTCACAAAATCAACCCTATTTCTTTTCATTTTAAATTCAATATAACCTTGACCTTATTTTTGATATCCTTGGTAAAGGTCATTCATCATTAGAAATGAATGCTGCTCTCATGGATAAAAATCATGCGCAAATTTTAAACTATTCCTTCATAAAGTCTTTAATTATATTCAAAGATATTCAGTATCAATTGCTATTATTACTAAAATTTAAGTATACATTGACCTTTAAGAAAAGGGGTCAAGGTGAATTTAATTAGTCAGTGCCACTAGTTTAAAGCTGTTATGGTGAAATCTCACTCACTCTTTTGTCTTCAGATATAACTTTTCCTCAATTGACCTGACTTATTTTTTCTTAAATATATTTCATTATTTACATAGTTTCTTAAAAACTTGACATATACAATAAGTACTTTCTGTTTCACAATTTCACTTTTAAATTGTAAACCCTTTAAATTTAATCAATACCCAAATGTTGTTATGTTATGAAATTTTTATTACTTATATTGTGTATGGCATTTCTTAGAAACCAACGGAAAAACCAATAAGCAAAAACGTAAGTAACTGAAAAACGCCAAACAAAAAGGGTCAAGGTCAAATAAAAGTCAGGTCAAAATAGCAAAGTTTAAAAGAAAAAACAATGAAACAATGTGTAAGTAAACAGAGCAGTGTGTACTGTTGCCGTCACCCTGTTAAAGTTAAAGTAATAAAACTATATATATATATGATTGAAAAATAGAAATTTATCTAGATTCTTTTTTTTTAAAACTCAGCTTTTTTGTATATCAAGCAGATTGTGAAATCCACTCGTCTCAACAATAAACTTCCAATGTTATGCTAATGTACATGGAGTTTCAAAATAGCCAAGGTCTGTCTATTTGAGATGATAAGAAAGATAGAGATCTGATAAAGCTTGAATATTTCAACAGAAATTATTTCATTTTTTAGACAAAACATGTATAAAACCAATGCTTGAAGATGTTAAGATGGTATATACAGTCATGTACAAACAAAATGTTTTGAAAATAATCACGATAATTGTTTTCACAATGCAGTTGGTAAAGCATCTTGGTGATTACAGCCAAAACTTTATCAAAGAAAGTGGTTGAAATTGAATTTTCAAAACATGATAATTCTGTTATATTGATATATTTTGAGTTTTTTTGTTATATCTACCAGAAAAAAATTCTGTTTAGCAAAGTTAATAATGATAAAAATTACTCTTAACCCATTACTGCAAAAGAATTTTGTGAAAAAAAAAAATTTCTACGCATACATCCATCTCACTAGTGTGAAGACATTATTTTGCTTTAGAAAAATGCATTACAGTATTCAAGACAAAAGAAATCTAGTTTATACGCATGTATATATTTCTCTACAAAGATCAAAAATAACAGTCATGAAATATAAAACAAAGAGAATCAGAGGTCAAAGATCACCATCTCCCTGTTGCTTAGTAACTTACAACAGGAGCTCCGCCTCCAGGAAGTCCGTATGGATGAAATTCTTCCTGCATTTGACGAATCTGTAAAATTGTCCAGCTATTATTCCATTACCAAATTTTAAAACATTTTAGCATAACTGAGCAAAGGTGTAACTTCCATAAAATTATAAAGTTTCATAAAATTCTGTCAACATTAGATAGTATTTGGTTCTTTACCATATTATATTTTGATATGGCCAATGTTATTTTACGTTCTTGAAATCTCAATATTTCTCCTGTTTATTCTCACACATATTAAAATTATACGTAATACATAAAAACTGACCAAACATGCTGAATTTCCATTAATTTTTTTTAAACTCATAATGGATGTACACCTTTACTGAGAATTTGGCTAAAGTGAAAACTTATACATTCTATTATTTATAATGTATATAACTTAACTATACATTGTATTGAAAATGTACAAATAAAACAATGTGCTAATATCATATCACAACTTCAAAATACATGGCAAAAATTGTTATATAACCATGTACATGGCTGTTGCAAACACAAATGTTATTTAGCTTTTAGATATTGAAAATAATCTATAACACATTATTGCAATTTAAATCTCTTGCTGTAAACCTGTGAAATAATACACCTATACTTCAACAAACATTGTACAATAAATCAAAACTGAATTATTAAACAACAGAACTGTCAATTTTGCCGACAAATTATTAATGTTAAACACAAAAGCAACATGTATATAAACAAATGTATTGATTTTCTAGAAAAGTCAACTTTGGATTTCAATCAATATTAAAATGGCAATAACATTATATGAATTACAGTGCTCTGTTAAGCGTCAAAGTGGCTTATTTTAACAGGAAATTAAAGTTTTGTTAAAATTGCCCATACATAAAAACTGCACACTCTTGTATTACCAGTAAAAAATTACACTTTGTTTAGATCTCAATTCACAGTTACCTTAATTAATAGGGAGAATACAAAAAAACTCTACATATAAACTTGGGCGCTTTTTAAAAAGGTTCCATTTCCTATGCTCTAATAATTTTATTAACTAGGCTAGTAATTATGACAAAATAATGATGTCAGAGTTAGCATATTAAAAATGCCTTTCATTGAAATTAATCACAATAGAAAATTCAAGAAATATCTTCAAGAAATGAAACTATTATCAACTAAGCACATTTCAGAGAATTTTGGGGATTTACGGACTAACTACACAGGTTATTGCTACTTCTTCATGCCATGTTTTCTGTCACAGAAAATTTACAACAGAATCCTGTGGTATACAACAATTACAAGAAAGCCCTGTTCCACAATCATCAAATAAAAATGAATTTAAAATTTGAAATTATCGATTTATTTCACTGTAGAAAAGACAAAATCACATGTTTGTTCATATTTCATAATTTTGGGACATGTATTTATACCTTAAGAATAATGTCAAAACTTGGAGGACAATCAATGTTATCCTATTGCACAGAATGTTGCACAAAATTAACATTTTATATATGCATGTGATTATATTTTATTCTCTATGATTCCTTATTTTTTCCCTTCATTCAATTAAAAGGCATGATTATATTAAGCACTGAATCTTGTAAGGGTCTAATGAATAATGGATATGTTTTAATAATATATACTATATATATGTTTTAACATAGTAGATACAGTATATGTTTTTACAGTACTGACAAAATATGCCCTACATGATCCTTAAAAATAAATAGCTAATACAAGACAGTTTTCAACTTATTATTTAACTTATATACAACAGACATAAATACTTTTATTTCATGGAACAAGGCTCTCAAATCTACGTTTTTACGTAACATTAAAATCATGTACAAAAATAAGTCAGCAGAAATAAAATAAAAAGCTAGACATGCAAGTTATTCACTGATAGTTAAGAGAAAACTGAAAAACATGTTGGTGTTAAAACAGATTTTCTGATTGAATTTTAACATGCATACAAGCCACTTACTCTATTTGGGGCCCCACCCCCTGGGCGGCCCCAGGGTTTGTAGGAATCCTGCAATTCCCTTATCTGTAAGAGTATAGTAGTTTTCTCTATTTCAAAACATTACTTTCAAACCTTTTGTGTTGATAATGAGTTCAAAAAGAACTAATAAAGATTGATGTTGTATTTCAGAATGAAAAATAAAAATATTTTGAGATAATTTGTAATTGCCCATTAAATAAACTAACCAAGCAATATAAAGTTGATATTGTGAGGATGAAATGCCATGATGAAGAACTTTGTGAGAAAACTGAGGCAGGCATATAAATGATGTTTCTAACTAGTTTTTTTAAATTCATTATATAGTGTTATATAGTGTTTTCAATGGTCAGAATTTCATGTTATATCTACATTGATGGTTTTCTCAGTATGGTTTCAAGCCTTAAGTCTGACCTTGACACTTTATGACCTTGACACTTTACTTTGTCACCTTAACTACTGTCATCAGAACCTACAGATACTGATTGACGGCTAAACTAAATTCATCATGAAAGAAGTGTATAGATAATGAGTACGCCTGAATTACTGTTGTTGCTTAAAGCTACATGCCTCCAGATGAGTCAAAATACTTCAATCAAATCAAAATTGAGAAAAATGTAATAAGATGTAAGGAATGTAAAAAGTTTCAAGATTCAAGTAATATTTTATATACACTTGTGTGATTAATGACTGATTTTTCATAATTTACATCTATATTTCTACTGCGTTAGTAACGCAGTAGAGGCTATTTATGCATATTTTGACCACTTTTTGGCGATTTACCTGGTTTGTAAGTGCCATTGATAAGAGTAACTTGCTTTCTTTAGGTTACTTCACAATATTACACATTTACATACATATTCAAAATTTTCATGAAATTTAGCGTGAATCTGGAGGCGTGCTGCTTTAACTACAAGCCTTTACAAATGCCATCATATACTATAAATACATAAAATTAATGATATTATAAATTCTGAATGAAAATTCTGCAGGCTATTTCAGCAAGGATGTCAATATAACTCATAGTAAATACTATATCTCCAAAAAGAAAAGATAGCAATGCATGATGGTAGGTTTGCAGGACAGAGACAGAAGAGAGAGTGGCAAAAACCACATAACAAGTTTTATATGATTCAAGTTTCAATGAACAAGATATGTTTGTAAAACATGTTTGCCCCCTATCGGCAGCCAATTTGTCATGTGATCAGGTTATTATGCATGACTTCTGACCCAGTTATAAGGGTTATCTAGTATCTACTGGTCATGACTAGTCACAAGGTAATAATTATTGTGACCCCATAGGTTGTTTGCAGCAATTAAAGTTATTAAAAATCTTACCAAATAATATATACATAAATTTTATGAATCACATAGGCCTCATTAATGACAGCCAAGTTGTTATATTACATAAGACCTTCAAAAGTGTATACCAAAAGCACATAAAAATATCAACCAAGGCAACTTGAGTTGTTGAGTTATTGGTCAGAAACAGTCATTTAGTACAAGGTCACTATGACATTGACCCCTTGACCCCAAAACCAATAGGGGTCATCTATTGGTCATAACCAATCATCATACCAAGTTTGAAGTTCCTAGGCCTAAGGGTTCTTTAGTTATTGATCGGAAATCGTTTTTACCTACAAGGTCAATGTGACCTTGACCTTTGACCCCTTGACCCCAAAATCAATAGGGGTCATCTGCTGGTCATGACCAATCATCATACCAAGTTTGAAGTACCTAGGCCTAAGCCTTTTTAAGTTATTGATTGGAAACCGTTTTTACCTAAAAGGTCAATGTGACCTTGACCTTTGACCCCAAAATCAATAGGGGTCATATGCTGGTCATGACCAATTATCATACCAAGTTTAAAATTCCTAGACCTAAGCGTTCTTTAGTTATTGATCAGAAACCGTTTTTACCTACAAGGTCAATGTGACCTTGACCTTTGGCCCCTTGACCCCAATATCAATAAGGGTCATCTGCTGGTCATGACCAATCATCTTACCAAGTTTGGAGGCTCTAGGCCTAAGGGTTCTTTAGTTATTGATCGGAAACTGTTTTTACCTACAAGGTCAATGTGACCTTGACCTTTGACCCCTTGACCCCAAAATCAATAGGGGTCATCTGCTGGTCATGGCCAATCACCATATCAAGTTTGAAGATCCTAGGCCTAAGCATTCTTTAGTTATTGATCGGAAACCGTTTTAACATACAAGGTCAATGTGACCCTGACCTTTGACCCCTTGACCCCAAAATCAATAGGGGTCATCTACTGGTTATGACCAATCACCATACCAAGTTTGAAGTTCCTAGGCCTAAGGGTTCTTTAGTTATCACTCGGAAACCATTTGGTCTACGGACCGACGGACGGGACGGACCGACAAGTGCAAAGCAATATACCCCCCTCTTCTTCGAAGTGGGGGCATAAAAATAATGGGGAAAATATATTTATGAAGCATGATTTATATAAAATGAGAATAAAAAAAACTAGTTTTGCGAGTATAAATAAACAAGCCTAGGCTGACAATACAGATGGGAATAGCGAGATGTACATGTAAATATTTATTGTAACATCCTTGTCACAGATTAAAAACTTATTGTGCATTCCCATCCATACTGTAACCAACTTGTAAAATACCAACTAAGTAAGATTACATATGTAATTTTAGACTATATCACGCACCTTTCTTTGCTCTTCAATCTTATCATATTTTTCTTTTTCCTTTCGTTGACGAGCCATCGCTAAATCCTCCTCAGCTACATAAAACTCATCTATCTTCTTCCTTTTCTCAGCTGACCTGTAAAACATAAAATTGCTTCCTCTTTATAACAATGATCTATGGGCTTAATATCAAAGTAATGTAAATAACTAAATACGCATGCTCTTGAAGTTTTTGATATAATGCTGATTATTATTTTTGCTGTTGCTTATTCTATTTTCAGCAAGATCTATGATGTCAACCATGAGTGAGGTGAGACTTTAGAAAAAAAATGTTGTACTTCACTTCAGTGTTGCTATATTTTTCTGGTCCTTCGGGATCATTAATGCCAGCATTATTAAGTGTTGAGAATTGAGTACCGCTCAAGCCGGTGCTAAGGGGATGAGGATGTTTCATTTTTCATTATCCCTCATATACAGACTCAATCAAACTGAGTCTGCAACTTTCATCTAATTTTGTTGTGATTAATGCTTCCGAGGGATCACTTTGTTTCCAGATTTTTAGAATCACATTTTTTTTGGTACATGTATTTTTCATAAAATCTTTTATTCTTCATAATATTTTGTTATATCCAGAACATAAGTACCATCTCAATTATTTCCAAAATATCTTAACTGATACATAATTTATCAATTTATAAACAGTCTTAAATTAAACAGCTAAAAAGGTTTATTATTGACCTTTCCTTTTCAAGTCTGAGTACCGGCTGCCCTATAGTCAGCAAGAATTGCAAAACATCTGGGGGCTTCCAAATGTTTTGAATTAAACTAAACAACATTAATGTTGCTCAAAAATAATTAAAATTAGAGTGGTATTAATTAGTCTTTGGCTCTGTGTTTTTCAGTGTTGATTAAGTTTATGTGTACATGTACAAAAGTTATCAATGAGTCATTTAGAACTGGTTCAATTATAGAATGCAGAAAAACTTGTTCTGAAAACCTACCAAAATAATGTAATAAAGAAATACCAGTCAAATACAAAACTTACGACAACTGTCTGAAAGGGTCACGGATGACTGGCTCTTTTCTGTAAGATGGTTGTTCATCTTGATATCTTGGAGAAATTGTTTGATTCACATGTTCCGGTGGAGGCATTGCTGGGGGTGGTGAATCTGAAAATAGAAATTGGAAAAAAATGTACCATAATTGTATCTATAACTTGAATCTTCAGTAGTGAGCAGTGTACAGCTTCTCAAACTGTCTTACAATGAAGACATAGGTCTATTGTTATCGCCACTTAGCATAAACAGTTAAAGAAAGCTGTTAAGTAAGCAAATGTTTTAGCTTAAATGCTTTATTCCTTAAGTTTGACCTTGAAGACAAGGTCATGTAGGAGTCAAGGTCATATTTCTAATGTTGAAAATGAAGCTTTCATGCAGAAGTTTCAGCCCTGTATTTAGGCCCTATCTTACAAAATGAAGATATGATGGAAAAGTAATCAGCAGAGGCAGACATACAAACAGCCAGCCAGACAGACAGACAGACAGACAGACAGACAGGACAACAAGCACCCTGACGTATTGATGCAAAGGCATTATATAAAGCCACTCTACCATACAACATCTTAATGATAAATTAATGATATGACATTAATGTGTAGCAGTATGATAAAACTTTTTACTTCTCTTGGGCTCCAGCCAGTTAGGTTCTTGTTTATGTTCTTGTGGGGGTGGTGAAGCCATTCTTGGTGGGGGATTTTGTCCTTGGTTCCAATCTGGAGGTGAATCTGTCAGCAGAAGACAATACATAAAGTTACTCTGACATCATTTAAATATACTGTTTCTAATTAAAACACAGCCTCAATAAAACATTACTTCATCTTATATTTTTGTGGGGTTTTTTTGTTTGTTTTTTTTGTTTTTTTGTGTGTTTTTTGTTTTTGTCTTTTTTCATTTTTCAACTCTATTATTTTCTACTTATCTCAATAATACAGTGTTTCAATTTCTCCCGATTCTGTGGTGGATTAAGGCAGTAGTTCAGGAACAAATGTTGGGGTTACACCAATAACAAAAAAAACAACTAGAACTGCCACTGTCATGGCATGAATACCCCCGCATACCCCCACATACCACTTTGTCAGAATCAACAGTGGCCATTTAGAGCTCAAGGACAACCTCCCTGCCAAATCTGAGGACACTAAGCCAGTGCATTGCTAAGTCATGTATTCTTGTTGCTTCAAATGTCAAAATCAATACTCTGCAGACAGGCATTCTTAAGCATTTGAGCAGACAAGCTTATTATAGTAAAATCCCTGTGACCTTGACTTTTGACATAGTCACCTTAAAATCAAAAGGGGTCATCTACTTGTCATAAATAACCTCAATACTAAATATGAAGACCATTGACCAAAGCATTCTTAGGCAATTGTGCGGACAAGCTTTTTTTAGTCAAGGCCCCTGTGACCTTGACCTTAGACCCAGTGACTTCAAAATCAATAGGGGTCCCCTAATGGTCATAATCAATCTCCATGCCAAATATGAAGAAAGTGAGTCAAAAGTTATTGGGCAGACAAACTTTTTGAAGTCAAAGTCCCTGTGACCTTGACCTTTGACCCAGTGACCTCAAAATCAATAGGGGTCATCTACTAACCATGACTAAATTACATGCCAAATATGAAGACTTCTGGTCAAAGGAATCTTAAGTTATTGGGCGGACAAGTTTTTTTTAGTCAAGGCCCCTGTGACCTTTTTTTTAACCTAGTGACCTCAAAATAAAAATGCGTCATCTATTAATCATGGCTAACCTCCATGCCAAATATGAAGACTGTGGGTCAAAGGAATCTTCTTAAGTTATTGAGCGGACAAGCTTTTTGAAGTCAAGGCCCCTGTGACCTTGACCTTTGACCTGGTGACCTCAAAATCTAATGGGATCCTCTACTTATCATACCAATCTAAATTACAAATATCAAGACTGTTGGTTAAAGGAATCTTACGTTATTGGGCGGACAAGCTTTATGAAGTCAAGGCCCCTGGGACCTTTGACCCAGTAACCTCAAAATCAATAGGGATCATCTACTATTCATGACCAATCTAAATACCAAATATGAAAACTGTGGGTCAAAGGTATCTTAAATTAATGGGCGGACAAGCTTTTAGAAGTCAAGGCCCCTGTGACCTTGACCTTTGACCCAGTGACCTCAAAATCAATAGGGATCATCTTCTTATCATGACCAATCTAAATACCAAATATGAAAACTGTGGGTCAAGGGAATCTTAAGTTATTGGGTGTCAAGCTTTTTGAAGTCAAGGCCCCTGTGACCTTGACCTTTGACTTCAAAATCAATAGGGATCATCTACTAACCATGACCAATCTAAATACAAAATATGAAAACTGTGGGTCAAAGGAATCTTCAGTTATTTGGTGGGCAAGCTTTTTGAGGTCAAGGCCCCTGTGACCTTGACCTTTGACCTGGTTACCTCAAAATCAATAGGGATCATCTACTTATCATGACCAATCTATAAATACTGTGGGTCAAAGAAATCTTAATTTATTGGGCGGACAAGCTTTTTGAATTCAAGGCCCCTGTGACCTTAAACCCAGTAACCTCAAAATCAATAGGGATCATCTACTAACCATGACCAATCTAAATACCAAATATCAAGACTGTGGGTCAAAGGAATCATCTTAAGTTATTGGGCAGACAAGCTTTTTGTAGTCAAAGTCCCTGTGACCTTTACCTTTGACCCAGTGACCTCAAAATCAATAGAGATCATCTACAAACCATGACCAATCTAAATACCAAATAACAAGACTGTGGGTCAAAGGAATCTTAAGTTATTGGGCGGACAAGCTTTTTGAAGTCAAGGCCCCTGTGACCTTGACCTTTGACCCAGTGACCTCAAAATCATCAGGGATCATCTACTACTCATGACCAATCTAAATCCCAAATATGAAGACTGTCAGTCAAAGGAATCTTAAGTTATTGGGCACACAAGGAAAAACCCACGGACGGCCGGACGGGCAACGGCCGGACAGACAAGCTGATTCTAGTATAATCCCCATACAACTTTGTTGTGCGGGGGTATAATAACACTCCTCAATTTCAATTAATTTTGGTTAACAATGCTCTTTCAAGGAATAACTTCAGGTATTGTGTTACTATTTTAAGCCGTCTATCTCTATTTCTAAAACAATTTTCAAGAACTGTAGACATATCTCATACAGCAATTTTGGGTTTACCGCTCAGCTCACCAACACAATTTAGGTAATATAGCACTGCAACAGGAAAGAGGATTTTGGCTTAAGCCTTGGGTGTTACAATATCAAAGCAACACCAAAGGTCAAAAGCACTTTGCCTGCTAGAGTTAAGAGATGCACATATTCCAGTAATTTGAAACCATTTAGTCGCATATTAGGATCACACAGGGATAAACGATGGCTGCATTTTTGATGCCAAAACCATTAAAGGCAACCCATCAGACACAAGGGGATCATTCAATTAATATATCTTATATCAGAAATGTAGTGAAATTCACTTCATATATAATTTTGAAAGATGAAACTTTTACTCTTTTAATCATAATGTCATAAAAATCATATACTCATATACATGTACACTGTACTAGTGTTTCACTAAATGACTTCGTGGTGTGTTATACATGTATTTGAAAACTGATCTGTTTAGAATGAAGTGATCCATTTAAAAACTTTACAAATCAATATTCTCATTTGTCTTCTTTTATTATTTAATATCTTATCTTATGACTTGTATAGTCACTAACTTTATGTAGATTATTGTATATAATTTTGTTGGATAGGACAAAAATCAGACATATTTTTTAAAATATTTCTCCAGTTACAAACAAAGCCAAAAAGTATATATTTATGCTCACAGGTAGCTTAATTACTATATAAAGGTGTTTTTTTTTATTTATTGACAACATCTTTATCTGAATGTCATGCGGTTAAACTAGTATTTTAACAAAAAACATAAAACAAACAAAGCATTTTTATTTGGTGAAAAAGTTAGACAACTGTGAATTGGTTATGGGAGTATGGTAAGAGTAACCTACCTTTTCTAAAATATCTATTTACATCTGATGTGATATCTGCAGACGGCTGGTGTCGTAGAGGGCGCTTTGGCTGCAGCATGTTCATCTCAGGAAAACCTTTGAACCCGTATGTAGTGGCGCCCGAGGCATTGTAAGCTTTGTTGAATCTGTCGATGTTTGAGTCGGCAGCTAGTATGAGGGAGATAGAATGATACATGCAGAAAAGGCAGGGAAGAGCAAAGCCATGCAAACAACAACAACATTTTACATACAATAGTACTTGTCTTATAGTGCTAATTATATGATGAATTTGAGGGTTTGACTTGTAGTTTTTCATAATTTCAAGTAATAATGGAAATAAAACATTGCTTTTCAAAATTTTTCTTGATGTCTCTATGAAAATAATAAAGTTTAATGGACGTATTACCTGTGTAAAAGTTTTTTTTACATGTATTTAAATTTGATTTTTAAAATGACGAAAGGAATTTTTCAATCAAGCCGAACATGATGGCTGATTTTGGTCTGCACTGGTTGCTTTGCACTGATGTAACTGTCCGAGCTGGCTAAGGGACAAGATTAAAATTGAGCAGCCAAAAGCATATATAGTCTTATCAGACAATACTGAAGTAATTTCATATTGTTGGGACAAGTATGTATGTAAATTGCATACAAAAACAACAAATTTCACAAACATGCATCTATGTTATCTATATACTAATATAATTATTTATCAATTTAAATTTGTAATACATATAACATATATATGTAAATTACTACAGATCAAATGTATATCATCTTTACATTTAAAACTGACCAATATAAAAGTTTTCTTACACGCAGTTTACGACAGTTTACATAAGCCTTTAAGTCTTTTTCTTAAAACAATGTTTAAATGATTTGAAATGTGAAATGAATTATAATTAATATTAACTAGTGTTGCAATACAAGTATTTTTTAAAAACAATCAAAGCAAAATAAAAAGCTTTTATTTCAATTAATGATCCCAGTCCTTCAATGCTTAAATGAAAAAAAAAACTATGATAGCAAACACTTGAAAATTTGAAGTAAAAAACAACAGCTCATTTAAGTAGCAGAATGGTGAAATTATTTCAGCATGTTGTTTTGATAAGATGCTGATGAGAAAAGCCAACCTGCCTTACCGTGTAGTGGTAACATGATAGTCTCCTGTCCTTCTTTAATGTAAACATATTATACATGTATATTTCCATGTATATTTCATTTTTATATACATAAAACATGTTGTTGAGTTTATTCTTGGATTAATTGAAAATAAGGGTAACATTATATATTTCCAATTATATCTCCTAAACATGTCATTGAGTCTATAAAGGTTAAGATTTAAACATACTCTTCAAAATTTTGTTTATTTACCTATTGTTTTATATCACATAATTATTTACCCTTTTTAAACTTTCTAGAATTTTTTTTACCCATTGAAATAAAACTTTAATGATATATTGATTTATAAAAGCAATGGTATTCTGTCAGGGCCATCATTTGTTTACCTTTTTTGATTCTCTCAATACAAAGAGCAACAGTACAGTAAAACAATGCAAAAGCGCATAAACATGATCACAAAGGCTGACATAAAAACATGATGAATAGGTTAAAATTGCCAAACAATAATGATGGCCTGAACAGAACACCATTAATTTCATAATCATTTAATATATAGAGGATATTGAATGAGTGTAAGTTTAATACTGAAATTATTGCACGAGTTGGATAAAATTATATTATGCGAGACTCTGGCGAGCATAATATTATTTTATTCAACGAGTGTAATAAATTCAGTAATGAACTTACACAAATTTAATATTCTATTTATCACATACCCAAAATAAAGACCGTTTAAAGTGAAATAAGAGTCATTTTTCATTGACGCGCCTTTAGTATAACGCTAACATTTAGCGCGTCTTTACACTATGTTTGTATAACGCTAATGACGTCACGTCAAAATATATGCACGACCGTGCAATACCATATTTACGGAGTTGCAAAATCGGCACAGGTGTGTGATAAATGCATATATCAATGAAATACTTTTTAATCAGACCTTCAGCTTTTCTAAAATGATACCCTTATTAAATTGTATTAGTTGTATTGCAATAACTTTTTTATGTACTATATTTTAAATTTTAATCAAGCTTTGCTTATTTCACAATAAACTACATTAATAATGCAGTCTACATGATTACTATTACCTTTATACCACAAGACTAATAGAACATTCAGAAGTTTATACAGAAGTATGCAACATACATTTTAACATACAAAACCTTAATATACCATCACCATTAATTTTTCAACATGCTGTTAATATATGAAACAAATAAGCTTGTGATTTTATATTACACGTTTTGTTTACATTAATCTTTACCCTCCTGAATTTTTGTTATTTAGTTTCAAAATGTTTTGAATTTAAATGTAAAGTTTGAAGGATTTAAATATCAAAATAATTCAATTAAGTAGTCAACAAAATGAGCATGGTCAGACTGTGAGGCTCTAAAATTTATAATGTCTGGTATAAATAAATAGACATAAGGTATAACAGCCATAAATATTCAAAGAGTTGAAGTATCAGTCTTATTATAACTTTTTGTACTTGCACCTTAAATGACAAATTACTAGCATGGTTTGGGAAACAGTTTTGTTTTTGTTTTAAGTTGCACCAACACAGTATAGGTCATAATAATGGTGATTTTCTAGCTTTACTGGTGGAGGAATTCCTAAGGTGCCCTTCTGTACATATTTTCAGGCACAAGACAGGCACCTGAGTAGAACTACCAACATTTGGAATGTGTATTACCATTGGTGACTTAATATAAATGTATAAATAAATGAAAAAGTAAATGATTACAGGGATGAACATGGTTATATAAATCCAATATAAAATCACAAGCTCTTATATTAGTAACACATTATATAACATACAGACTCTAATGTTGTCATCTCATCAAATCACTAAATTTATTTTAATTATTTTTATTTGATACTATCACATTTTTAAATAATTTATCAAATTTTCTGTGCTGTTATCAAATTAAGTTACCGTACATTAATATATAATAATAATGATTATATAATAAAAGTGATATCATAAAAGTTAAAGAGATTCAATGTTATAGTACCTAAGGAGGGAAATAAGCACAAAACATTTTACAAGCTAAAGTAATTTTGCTTATGAAATATATTCCTACAATGCAAGCATAGATTGAGCTGTACCACTTTCTAAAACAATGCACAAATTTTGAAATTGTATTTGGTCCGACAGATTTTGTTTCGGTCCGACAGATTTTCGTGGTTTGTCAGACCGAATGTCTGACAGTTTTTTTCAACTTTCGGGAAGTCTGGTACATATTTTCAGGCACAAGACAGGCATCTGAGTAGAACTACCAACATTTGGAATGTGTATTACCATTGGTGACTTAATATAAATGTATAAATAAATGAAAAAGTAAATGATTACAGGGATGAACATGGTTATATAAATCCAATATAAAATCACAAGCTCTTATATTAGTAACACATTATATAACATACAGACTCTAATGTTGTCATCTCATCAAATCACTAAATTTATTTTAATTATTTTTATTTGATACTATCACATTTTTAAATAATTTATCAAATTTTCTGTGCTGTTATCAAATTAAGTTACCGTACATTAATATATAATAATAATGATTATATAATAAAAGTGATATCATAAAAAGTTAAAGAGATTCAATGTTATAGTACCTAAGGAGGGAAATAAGCACAAAACATTTTACAAGCTAAAGTAATTTTGCTTATGAAATATATTCCTACAATGCAAGCATAGATTGAGCTGTACCACTTTCTAAAACAATGCACAAATGATTTCTAACATGAATGGGGTTTCTTTTTATTTTATTTTTCATATATTTCATATGATTTACAAGCCAAAGTCTTTCAATATGACAGTAAAATATGCCCTCTTGATTTTATGATTTATTGATGGTACAAAAATATATATGAGACACTCAAACCCTTGTCATCAAGACGTTTTGATAAAGGGAAAAAAATGCTGACATGGCAGAATTATCATTCATGAATTACAACACTGACATAATTGAATATTTTCAGAACATTTATAATATAATGAACCTTATAAGTCCAGACAAATTCAAACAGGTCAAACAAATTTTGGCAACAGCTTATGTTAAATCCACCTATTATTGCATTCATAATGTTTGGATGACAGGAATAAGGTTCAAAAATTTGAATGTGATTATCTCAAAATTTTGTTTTAATTTTCTAATACAAATAGGTTGAATTGGTATATTATTTTGCCATTTTAAGAGTACAGGGAGTAACTACTTACTTGAAAGATTTACATTGTTCTGCACAAGAACTTAACAATTTTCTGTGGGTACAATTTAGTCCTTCATTGAAAGAAATCGCATTTTCTTTTTTTAACAGTTTGACGTTTAGCGGAAAATGCGATTTAAAGCGGATTTGACCCATGTAAAAAATAGCTTCAAATCCGCGGTTACGTCTAAAAATTTGGACTATGGGTACATGTGTATATAATATAATTTTAAGGAAAAAATGAGACAAATGATAATTGTCAGGAGGAAAACAATGTGACACCCAGGAATCTATACAGGAAACACTTTTAATACTGCACAGAATGGCACCATTATAGTCACAAATTATGGCAAATAGAGATTGATATGCACTGCATGATAACCATCAATTGCAAGGAAGCATTCCATAGGAGAACTTATTACAATCAAAATGCTGATTCTGAAATTGCAAAATCTTTGCCACATAAAAATGTATGCTGCATGCATATATATAGTAACAAATTAACAATGTCGCCTAACATTTTTATCTTTTAAATTTTCATCAAACCATTTGTAATATTGAAACAACACTGTCGAAAAAATGGAAAAAAGTCCATTTAGCAGTAAGGGTAAAAGATATGCAAGAGCAATGGTCATTTATATCTTCATATAAAGAATTCAAGATAAGCCCCATTGGTCAATCGGTACAGGAAATTATCATAGGCACTTGGTTTCGGGATAAAAAGCCTTTTAAAGGGTTTGTAGAACTCAAATTTGATTGAATGTTACGATTTTTTAATGTAGATGTCTCGATTCTAAATTCGTCATTTTCCGATATTACTAAAAAATAGTAATATCGGAAAAATGACGGTTTTAGAAAAGAGACATCTATGTTAAAAAAATTGTAACAGTCAATTATATTTGAGTTCTACAAACCTCTCAAAGGGTTATTTTATCCCGAAACAGGAAGTGCCTATGGAAATTATTCTAAAATTCACCTGTTTAACCAAGGACAAACCACCAAAGAAATAAGTGCAGTACATTGTAATTAAATTTGCAACCATAGCAATACAGACTTTAATAACTACTTGAGACAAATATATTAACTTCATAATGAAAGGTTATAAATAATAAATTGGATGATGTCAGTTTACAGTAATAATAAGTAATAAAAGTGTTTTATGAACTTGCAATATGCCTATCTATTAACTTCTAGAAACATAATAAAGACAATAGTGGTAAATAAAAAATCTAATGACATTTAGCAAACAAATCTACAATTGCTAAGAAGTAGCTACAGGTCTGAGCCAGCTAAAATTATAGCATCAAATTACCACGTCCTCCGAGAATGCCTCTCATCTGAACGTCCCTAATATCTTTAAAACGAAGCAAGCTTCGCACCACAAAATCGTCAATACTCTGGACAATAAAAGGTAAAATCATACATCATAAAACGTATTAGATGTAAGTACAAAAGAAATTATCAAATTTCAGAACAAAAGTAATACAGTCAAATGATGTGTTAACAAATGTGAAGTATTTAAGCATTTCCCTCAACAATTTTTCTGATAATTTTGTAGGTTCCTTTACTAGTAATCTGGTAGACATGTTTTATTGAATGGCCTTGAGCGATTTGGCTTGTCCAAAACAGGGATCAAATCTGTGACTTCCTACATATATAATAATGAGGTGGAAACTTATTATAATAATACCCCTTAAGCCAACATTTGAGAAAAAAGTCTCAATTTAAAATTCGAAGCAGACAACAAATTAACGATAAAAACATGAATACTTTAAACACACATTTAAACACTTCAATCAAATAATCACATAAAACTTCACAAAAAGAATGAAAATAGTAA